TTCTTTGTGGACATCTGGGTAGATCCTTACCAGGATCCATGGGTAATTTCCATGGTGAAGATGGCCGCTTCTGAATGCTCAGATATTGACCACCAGCATATTCTTTCACTTCACCAAAGTGGTGAACTCTTCACAAAAGAGAAGCATACTCCACCAGTACCAGGACACTCTCTGGTTCCAGTAAGAGATAGTACCAGAGTCCACTCAGAGAGAAGATGGTTCCCAATATGCTGGAATTGCATGCAGCACAGAAGGCTCTCATAATCTTATTGTCACATAGTCAAGGTCGACCAAACATTTTTCATTTGGACAACAGGACAGCATTTTTTTCTCACTACTCTCACCTACTGGCAAAGGGCAAAGACTACACTTTTGCCATTGATACCTCTGAGGTTCCTGTTGAGGTTACTGTCAGAAAGGCTCACAGTGATAGACATCCTACCCTATTGGTCCCACAGGCTATGGTTTAACATGGCCATAGAACCCAGTCTCTGCCCACTAAATTCAGTGCCTCATCTTTCTGCAACTCCTGACCCAGGAAGAGCCTCTCCATCGTCAGCCTGCACGGCTCACTCTTCAGGCCTTGATGTTGGGTAGAAGGGTTGGAGAAATTAGGTTGTCCTCTATCATTGATCAGGACCTTCCAGGAAGTCTTCAACTAACAGTTTTTATTCCCAAAACTGACAGATTCACAGCATTTGCAGCAGGTCAGAACTGCAACCCACACGCCTGGGGATTTCCCAGCTATTATCTTTTCTGTAGATGAGTCTGGATTTGTGCATTTGTTCATTGTCCTGAAGGCTCTGGTGTCAGCCATTCCAGCCTTCACCAGGAAAAGATGGGCATGATGGACACAGAAGCCTTGCTTCTTCATGAGCTTGACATTTCCAAAGCTCTAAGCACTTATCTTCAAGCCATTGCTTCACTGAATACTTCAAACAGGCTATTAATCCTGCTGTCTGGCAGATCGAAAAAGTAAAAGGAAACTACTTCTAGAACTTTGTTGTTTTTGATTGTTAAAATTTTCCAGAGAATGTGCAAGGTAGCTCAGTGTGAGCCTCAAGTAGTGGCAAGCGCTCATTTGACTAGGTCTATTGCCTTTTGGTGGGTGGCACATGTCATAGTCTAATTGGAGAGCATTTTCAAGCTGATCGTCACAGGATATTTTCCACAGGCACTACATCATAGATCCAAGAGCTTTCATAACAGTTGATTTTGTCAGAAAGACAATTCAGGCCTCACCCTCTCTGGCAGCTAGTTATTTATCAATAGAATGCTGCCATGTAGGCACCAGGAAACTGGAAAATTGTATCAAATACTTACAATAAATTTCTTTTCCTGGCGCCTATCCATGGCAGTATATGGACCCACCCATGGTCTTGGTATAGTTACTTAGAATTTAGTGGGTCTCTCTCTCTTTATAAGTTTATATTGATCCTGTTTTTTGGTAAGTTCACCCTCACCAAATTGATGGTGAGTCAGTAAGATGGCAAATGGTTTACCTCCCTGAGTTTGTAGCTTCTTTTGTAATTTTGGGGTTATTCTGGACTGACCTACAATTTTCTTGTTTTCCTATGCTCAGTCTTCCTGTAGGCTGCAGTATAACCTGACAGTCAAGACTTCCTGTATCCCTCAACAATCTCCAAGAAAAGGATTTTACTGTGAGTACAAAATTATATTTTTCAAACAGCAGTGTCTTAAAATAACAAGAAGTTTTGATCTACACCTTCTCCACTATAAAAATTACATATAGTTTTCAAAGGGTTGATTTATAACAAATGGAAGAGAGGAAATTATATGTTGTTACAACATAAATTAAATAAATGTAAAAAATGTTCTGGTGTATGTTACAGAAAATCAAAGAAAAAATAACTTTGGGTGAAAAACCTATAATCTTTTTGTCTAGCTTTTAGAACACAGTGCAATATTTTTAAACAAGAAAACTGCTCAGATATAAACTGTATCTGTCACAGATTTTTATTTAGAAAATGAATATCAGCACTGAATATCAATACTAGGGTTGAACAAATTGACCCACCTTTATTTAGAGTTAGGGCTATTTCAGACTAGCTTTGAAAGCAGGCATTTGAGGGGCATTTTTAACGCTCCTCAAATGCCTATGGAAATGATACTATGGACAGCACACAGTGCTGTTCACATTATCAAAACATGAAACATTAGAGTTGCTTCAAAATTGAAGCCTCATGTAGAGCCAGGAGTTGAAGCCTTTCAACGCCTCCCATTCACGTCTATGGTGATGCTCCTCAAATGCCCTGGCAGGCGTTTGTGGGGCGTTAGTACCATTAGAGTTTATTATAGGCATTTGTAGAGTGGTTTTAACATTTGTACAATGCCTATAAAATGCCTCAAAACCACGCATAGGGCGTTTGAGGAGCGTTTTTAATGCTTGTAAAACACCCATACTAAAGCTCATTAACGCCTGTATAACGCTATAGGGGCGTCTTTGAAGAGATAGGAATTTAGTCAAGTGTGAACAAGCCCTTAGAGACACGAATTTGCTCACTTTTCATAGCATATGTTAAAAAAGACACATTGCAAACTAAATTAAATAAAGCCTTAATTCTATTTGTAAATAATTTTGTCACAATGTGTATAAATATAGTGTCATATAAACGAGACCAACTGCAGAATAAAATTTGTATTTTATATCTATATTAGCATTAAAAGGTCCATTTTAACACTATCTATTCTGAATCTGTAGGTCTAATTAGTTTTTATACTCAAGATTCACAGAATTTTCCAAATGAATCGTAGGTGAAAAAAATGTGTAAATCTTAAGTTAAAAGAATGATAAATAGACCCCTAGTCTCCAAATTATTGCTGCCCAATTATTGGCCATTATTGCTTTGTTTTTCTGTTAACAAAAAAAAAACTTTCTGAAAAACAATACCCCTCCTCCCCCAAACAGTAATATAGGCCTTACTTCCAGGACCTAAATAATAAAGTTACTGTCTAATTAAAATGGTAGTAAAGTACTAAAAGAAAAGATTTCCCTCTGCAAGGCAAAGCAATAATGTGCTAGTATGCATTGCATACTAGCACATTATGAGAAACTTACCTTAAAACAAAGCCCTTCAGCAGTGAGCTGTCATCACTGACAGGGCTTCCATCTTCACCCGGTCTTCCTTCCAGGTTTGCAGGCTCTGGCCGTTTGGCTGGCTGAGCCGCAATGACTTTAGTCACGGGAGTCAAGGTCACAGCACAGAGCTCTGAAGGGATGTCATGAGTATGCCGATCATCAGCTGCTGTTCACTGGAATATCCTCTAAATGATGCACGTTTAGAAAATGTTCATTTTACTTACAGGTAAGCTTTATTATAAGCTTAGCTGTAGGTAAAAATCCCAGAAACAAGTTTACTACCACTTTAACAGGCCAATAGCAAGGAAAAAGGAAACAGTTCTTTAGCTCAGCTGCTTAAACACTACTTATTTCTTGCACTACTTGGAACACTGTAGACTGAGCCATCAGAAGTGAAGTAAAAACACATATACTGTATATCAGACACTAAACTGTATTCAAGCACAGTCATGAAAAAGGCTTAGTCTTTGCAGAGGATTTGCATACATATTAGCAGGTTCAGTCTATGCGATTAAAGCTTATGATAAGTTTGCTTTTTTCTGATCTTTACAAAATATTTTCATGCAAGTAGTAAATCTATACACTGCTTATTTCGAGCATTAGCGGCAGTGCACCATGCTTTAAATATCTATTCAGAATAAAAATGTTTCATTTTGCACAAACCTTAGTAAGCATATGGGGAAGGGAAAACTTGTGTTCTTGAATATTACACCAGCCGTGGTAAGGCTATGGGGTCTACTGCCTGTTGAAATATTGGCATAAATTCTGTTTGTGTGCTGATGTCACCGGCCATACCCATCTTACTATTTTTGGTCTGTTATAAACCAGTCCGCTACACACTACTGTTATATTTAAACTTGTCATGGTCACGAACATCAACCATGACTGTTACTAAAGGTACCTCATCCAAAAAATAGGAGAAGCATGCACTCTAAATTATAATATTCCACTTACCAGTCATTCAGTCTTTAGGGCATTCAAAAAGGACATCCAAAAACATTTGGGTCTTGGAGGTGGGAACTGCAATATTAGATGTGCTTTAAGGCCTGTGGGTGGCTATTACACAAATGGAATACAGCTCTCTAAATAGTTACATCCTAGTTACCACTGTGCATTTATAAGAATCCACACATATGAAGACTCCTTGGTGCTGTAGATCAGGGCTAGGACTAGACATTTATAGGATTGTAAAAAAATGTTTTGGGGGAAAGACTTAGGTTTTGCATTGGGCAATACAATTCCTGAACAAAGAAACACAAACAATATCTTCCACGCTAATATCTTTTTTAGAGATTCTAAAATACATCTATCACAGTTTAAAGTTTACAAATTGTCATACTGTAGGAAATTTTCTATAATCTAACCAAAAATACTGTCTGTATGTAAAACATACAGAAGTAGCTACTGTATATGTCTGTGGAAAGACTGCACAGCACATTTTTGATTATAGAAATACAGTACAAAGTTGACCTTTTAGCTATCTTGACACCTGCAGATCACAGAAAAACCTTCTGCGTCCAAAATCTCTGGTGGAATGAATTTTGATAAGTTGCTTATCTCTTATCTGATTAGTATTATCATTATTACTAGTTATGCCTGAATGTATTCCTAAATCATTCTGCCTGCAGTTCAAGGTCTCCCAAATTCAACTACATGCTGAGACAATGACTGACCCCTACCCAACAAGGCATGGGAGGCCTGCCAGAACTTCTATAAATCTATGGCTCCTGTTGCAGAAATCAGTTTGGTTTGGGAGATCATGGACTACAAGCATAACTAGGCAAATAAAAGTATAATCTATAATAGCAGTACTAATATTTAGGATGGATATTAATTTGCTTGCAAAAATCTCTGACAGCATCAATATGATGACATTTTAAAGCATTAAGTATAAACCAACCTTGGTCCATATGGAATGGAATAAGCACTCCCAAAGAAGTGTCTGTAAACAAATTCATCAAGGTCTTCAAAGACTCCTCCAGTGTTAGTCTGATATTCCTTCATGTCCTCCAGGTAATCTTCAACGTTGTTCACAAAATCAGTAAAAAGCATCTGATCATGAATAAAAACACCATTGTGAAAAAATTTACTAATGAATTGCTCTAGTTCTTTCCAGTGTCGGAAATTATCCACTTGCTCTTGTAAATATACTTGCATCAAATCGTGAAATTCTTCTACTGTCACAGGGTCCAGCACCTTGTTGAAGAGACTAATTGATTCTTGGTGAGCACATTCATAAACATCAGAACAACCCTTTTGCTGGTGGCTTTTGGTTGTTTCATCATCATTTAATGGCTGGGTTGCTGCATCTTTAAAGTCCTCAGTTTATGAGTGTTGTGTGAGTTTTTGTATTTGTGCTCAGTGGCTGTTGCTTTGTTGGGATAGTTCTTCTCAAAGTCAGGCTTAAACTCTCGGCGTACAGTATGTGCTTCTTTAGATTCCTCCCTCCTTCTTTCTGCATGTTTTCTATAGCGGTTTTTGTCAAACATACTTCTGGTGGAGTCTTTAAAGTGTCGGAATGTTGTTTTCACTGAATCTGAGAATTTCTTCAAATTCTCCTTCACTGCTTCTTTTGCTTGTTTGATTTTTTCCTTATGATGTCTCACAAATTCTTTGGTTGAATTTTTCATTGCATCAAAAGTGTCTTTAACGGAGTTGAAAAATGTAGATTTACCTTTCTTTTTTTGTTTGCTTGATTTACCTTCATTAGAATTGTCTTGCTCCTGATGAGCATGTGGATTTTTGCCATCTTTTTTTCACTTTCTTCTTTGGCTTCAATGTAAAGCCGTTCCCACAAATCTGACCTCTGCTGCTCAAAATTTAGTTTCTTTTCTAACTCGGAAAGACGGTTCTTCAAATGTTCAATTTCTTCATTACTCTTAATAGAATCATAAGTGACACCAGAGGCTCTCCTATTACTTATCTCTTCAAGTTCCACCTTCAGAGAGTCTGTAATTTGCCTCTCGTTGTCAAGTTCTTTCCTGAGAAACTGGGCTTCGGTTAGCAATGCTTCCTTTTGTGTACGAAAACTGCGGATCTTTTGCCGTTCCTCTTTTAAATGTTCTTTCAGCTTATGGTTTTCTGACTGTATTGTCTCATGCCTTCCTTTTTCTTCTAGGTTTCTTATTTGTTCCCTCAATTTCCTTAGTTCCTCTTTAAGAGAAGATAAAGCTTGTTCTTCTTTTTCTAAAGACTCCCTAAGGTGCTGGTTTTCCAAAGCAAGATTTCCATTTTGTACTTCTGTTGTTTTTAAGCTAGTTGCCAGGTCATCCGCCTCTAACTGCAATATACAAAGGAAAACACACTTTGTGTGTATCTGTTTTTTCATCCACTTAAATAATGTACCACCTTATAACTAAAATTTGAATATATTAATTACTCTAAAACTACTAGGACTTCATTTGGTCTTTAGCTTGCTTGAAATGACAATAAAAATATTTTTTTTTTTAAATCAAACACAAATAATGTAACTTAAGCCTGGGTTCACATATATTCGGTGTGTTATATTGCATGTGATTCACACAGGAACCACACCACATTCCTGTGGAAATCACATGCGATTTGTGTGCGGTGAGATTGGAGCCATACATTTTGTATGGCTCTAATTGCAGCGCACCAAAAACGTGCAGGACTCTTTTTTTGGTCCGCACTAGAATCGAATCGCATAGGTGTGAATACCTATGCGATCCGATTCTAGTGCTGACCAAAAAAAGGGTCCTGCACGTTTTTGGTGCGGGTGCGGTGCAATTTGAGCCATACAAAATCAGATTTTGCATATCGTACCGCGTGTTAACATACACACCCGCAGCGGTTTGCATGAATGGGGTGCGATTCTGATGCGGTGCAGAATTTGCACAGAAACTGCTGCGAATTCCGCACTGCATCCGTGTGAACCAGGGCTAAATGTATTATCTGTTATTTCTATAAAATGCTCCTCTAAGTTTACGTTTCAAATTTTCTTCTGTGAACATTCCGCATGCTATCTCTGCCCCCTGTGCTGCCGGGATCCATGGAGTCCCATTGAGTCTTCTCTACGTGTGCTCTTCTGCTTCATACTACAACTCTACATGCAGCTGTTGCAACTGTTGCACACACAGGCAGCGCTGAGGAACACAGAGCTAAAACCATACCTCTCCTCCGCCACAGTTTGGCGTGACTGACAGCTGTCCTGTGTCCTTTGAGCGGTGCCTGTGTTTGCAGCACCTGCAATGGCTACACGCAGATTTGCCGTACAGAGTGGGAGTGAGAACTTAGAGGAGACTCATACAGGACTTTATGGATCTTGGAATCACAGGGGGCAGAGATAGTATGGGGAGTGTGTTAGTGCGGCCAGGGGGCAATTTGAAAAGAAAACTCAGAGAAGGAAATTTATAGAAATATGAGATAACACATTCAAGTTACGTATTTGTATCTGTTTTATGTGTATAAAAAAAATAAGACTTTCATGGCAATGGCAGTGTGTACAGCAAATTTTTGTAAGGCTTTTGGCAATCTTTGATCAGCTTTGTTGAAGTCTTATTTAGATGTATCCGGTCCAATGAGATGCATTAACACATGTACATAGCGTGTTTGCCGTTTAGTGGAAGTGTGTTGGTTTAGTGCACTGGAGTTCTATTTAAAGGCCAACTCCATCTTTTGCACCATGTTACATTACATCCGTATTTAGGGTGTAACTTGGTACATGGTGCAAAATGTGCCCCCCTCATCCCCCAAGGACAGTGTGCGGGAGATTTATCTCCCCACAACTGCTGCCACTTTTTCAAATCAGGGCTCCACTGATCTTGGGTGCAATGCTTTGTAGGTTCCTATTAAATATGCCCTTTTTTTAAAAAAAAAAAAAGGCAGTGTATAAAATTAAGTATACTATATTGCCAAAAGTATTGGGACACTCCTTCAAATCATTGGATTCAGGTGTTCCAATCACCTCCATGGCTACAGGTGTATAAAAATCAAGCACCTAGGCATGCAGACTGCTTCTACAAACATTTGTGAAACAATGGGTCGCTCTCAGGAGCTCAGTGAATTCAAATGTGGTACCGTGATAGTTTGCCACCTGTGCAATAAGTCCATCCATTAAATTTCCTTGCTACTAAATATTCCACGGTCAACTGCTAGTGGTATTATAACAAAGTGGAAGCAACTGGGAACAACATCAACTCAGCTACGAAGTGGCAGGCCACGTAAAATGACAGAGCGGGGTCACGTATGCTGAAGCGCGTTGTGTGCCACCTGTCTGCAGAGTCAATAGCTAAAGACCTCCAAACTTCGTGTGGCCTTCAGATTAGCCCAACAACAGTGTGTAGAGAGCTTCATGGAATGGGTTTCCATGGCTGAGCAGCTGCATCCAAGCCTTACATCACCAAGTGCAATGCAAAGTGTTGGCTCCAGTGATGTAAAGCACGCCGCCACTGGACTCTAGAGCAGTGGAGACATGTCTTCTGGAATGACTAATCATGCTTCTCTGGCAATCTGATGGATGTGTCTGGGTTTGGCAGTTGCCAGGAGAACAGTACTTGCCTGACTGCATTGTGCCAAGTGTACAGTTTGGTGGAGGGGGGATTATGGTGTGGGGTTGTTTTTCAGGGGTTGGGCTTGGCCCCTTAGTTCCAGTGAAGGAAACTTTTAAGGTGTCAGCATACCAAGATATTTTGAACAAATTCATGCTCCCAACTTTGTGGGAACAGTTTGGGGTGGCCCATTCATGTTCCAACATGACTACGTACCAGTGCACAAAGGAAGGTCCATAAAGACATGGATGATGAGTTTGGGGTGGAGGAACTAGCCTGGCATGCACCGAGTCCTGACCTCAACCCAATAGAACACCTTTGGGAGGAATTAGAGCAGAGACTGCAAGCCAGGCCTTCTTGTCTGACATCAGTGCCTGACCTCACAAATGCGCTTCTGAAAGAATGGTCAAACATTCCCATAGACACACTCCTAAACCTTGTGGACAGCCTTCCCAGAAGAGTTGAAGCTGTTATAGCTGCAAAGAGTGGGCCAACTCTGTATTGAACCCTACAGACTAAGACTGGGATGCCATTAAAGTTCATGTGCGTGTAAAGGCAGGCATCCCAGTACTTTCGGCAATATAGTGTATGTGCCGTTTTAAACAAAGATTTTAATGGAACAGCTGTCACTTTAAACAAGCAGTTAACAGGCTTCAGCATGCTTTTAATAAACATCAGGTAGAGCTGAAGCTTGCTAGCAGCTTGTTTAAAGTGACAGTCAACAATACCATTAAGATTTGTGTCAAAACTGTGGAATGAGATGGTGCTTAAAAGGCTTCAACCAAGCTGATCGAAACTTGCAAAAAGCTTTTTCAAAGCTTACTGTATACACTGCTTTACACAAGCTGAAGCCTATGTAAACAAATCTTTAGTGTTTTCTAATTGTTTAATGTGTGTCATTTGTATTGGCCATTTTCACACCTATCATATTACTAATCCTGAAGCCTTAAACACTGCTGTTCCGATCATCTGTCTGGCTAGATTTTAAACAATGAGGTGAATTCTGACAAAGTGACCTCACATTCTCTTTAACATGTTTGCATTAAATACATATAATTGTGTATGCTGGCCACTGTTGGATACTCCTCTTCTCACATGTCACCATAGGAAGCCGCTTCTTATCGTGGCACACTTATGGGCTTGATCCCGAGCCACACTGTGTATCTATAGACTCAACACCCTTTCTCTGCTCAAAGGATCTGACTGACAGCAACAGGAGCCAATGGCTGCCTAAGAAAAGGAAGAGAGGGGAGGAAAGACTGCAGCTAGGTACAGTGCTTGTTCTCTGACAGGCTCAGGTAAGTGTTTACAAAGTGGGGAGGGAAACAGTTAATGGGGTGTATTTTTTACCTTAAAGTGATTGTTGTTTTTTTTTTTTGTAAACCTTTACAAACAAACATGTCATACTTACCTGCTCTGTGCAATGGTTTTGCACAGAGCAGTCCCCCATCCTAGTCTTCTCAGGTCCCTTGCCGCCACTTCAGGCCCCACCCCCCCCCTACTGCGTGCCCCCAGAGCAAGCTGCCTTCTCTGGGGGCACTCGTGTGTGCCCACTGCCGAGCTGCCTCCGTGCGTCTATGAGACACACAGAGCACGGCTTGGCCCTGCCCCTAGCTCCCTCCTGACTGGCTGCGATTGCCAACGAGGAGGCAGAGATCCGGGAGAGCTTCTGCTCTCGTGCACATTGCTGGATCGGGATCAGGCTCATGTGAATATAAGGGGGGCTGAGGGGGGAGCTGTACACTGAAGGTTTTTGTACCTTCATGCAAAAAATGCATGAAGGTCTAAGAAAAAAAAACAAAAAAAAAAAAAAAAAAACCTTCAACCTTTAGAACAGGAGTGCTCAACCCGTGGCCACATGTAGCCCTGAACCTCAAACCAGGAACACGCATGCCCGGGGTCGGTAATCTGAGCATGCCAACCCTGCATCCCAGAGCATCAGAGTGCATCAAGCTGGCACTGGTAATGGAGGAAGCTGGCTGCTGTGGAGGGAGCAGGAGCTGTATAAGCTGATGCTTCCTATGTAGTGCCGTCTCCTATCCCAGGCAAAACCAAGTGCACTTCGCCAGGGACCTTTCTAGCAGCCTGGAGATGGAGAGCGATGCCAGGAGAAGCTAGAAGAGGAAAAAAGGTATTGAAAAACACATACACTGATCTTCTGCAATGGGCACCAGTGAAGGGGTAACAACTATTAGGCTACTTTCACCTTGATCTGCAGGTGCAGCGCAGTGCACCTGCGGCTTTTCTGCAGGTTAGACTTCTATTATATCCTGCGGGTTTGATGACCATTCTGAAAGCACACCAAAAAGCACAATGCATCAGTGTGAAAACAGCCTTGTAGGGGGCTCAGGACAGTAAGGGCTCATTTACATTTACGGTTGAGATGTTTTTACCACACACCCCCAACCACTGGTGTAGCATCAGGGGTCACAACCCTGTCCCATGCTGTAGGGAGCCCGTACGGCCTCCCTGTCACATTCTGTTTTACATTTGGTGGGGCGGCATATACAGGAGCTGATCCTCTCCATTTTCCTCCTGCAACCACTGAAAACTGGCTTCTCCTCCTCTCCCTGCTGCCGGCATTAAGCAGCTGTAGGAGGAAAATGTTCATTATTCTATTCAAAATAAAAAAAATTAAATTCTGCGCCATTGTATTGTGGCCGGCAACCACTTACTAAATTACTTAAGTGGCCCTGGCTCTTCAGAAGGTTGAGCACCCCTACTTTAGAACCACTTAAATGTAGAGAATGCATTAAGGAAAAAAAAAAACAAG